AGTATAAGGTTGTCATGCAAAAGCACCCCCACTCATCCCTACATGCTTTCCATAATATATTTAGTGTATAATAACATCTGTTATCCAGCACTCATTTCAACAGTACGATCTCACAGATACCCATAGGTACTGTGTCCTGTAACTTGATCAGTATGTTTTTATATGGAATAACACGAATAAACATTTTATTCTCCAGCTGCTTGAGGTATGCAATGACTAAACAGATATGTTGTGAAAGCAACTTGTGTACACTACTTGTGTAACTTTTCCAGATGGAACTCATTCTCAATTTTGTTGTATACTGCCTGAGACACATGGGTGGCTTTTGTAACTGACCTTTGTGTTTGTCAGTTCTTACCTGTTACAAACCAATGCATTTTCCTTAACACAGCTGGGATACAACTTGTTGCAAGTCTCTTTTTTTTGGATGATGCCCCAAAATGATTCACATTCATTTATTTGTAATGACACTAAGTACACGAGATATCTCCATTTTTTGAAATTCTAAATCTTCCAATGTGAACACATCTTTATGATATGAGTGTATGATTATTTTGCATAAGAGAGAATTGTTATATATACCCTTCCTAAAAGCAATAAATGTTTGGTGTTTATGAACTGAATCCTTAGATAATAGAAATCAGGGTCCACCTTAGATAATTTTTCTACCCTAGGAGTTTAAAATTCCATCCCCCAGTAGAACCCTACATCAGTATGATCAATAAACATATTCACACACACACATTCATACCACATATATCTGTGTGTATATATGTTTATCTTAGATATTGAAAGGCTATTATATATATATATATATATATATATATATACACACACACACACACACATTACCTATATAAGATATCACAACCTCTAGTAAAATATCACCTTATCATGACTATCTGTGTCTGTAACCCACAATGTTTAGATTTACAAGAAGTACTTTGATAAGGTCTACTTTCTTCAATTTAATAGAAGCTTGTTTATGTTAAAGTTGGTTTCCCTAGTACTTGTGTTTATGACCATATTTTCAGAATCAGTAATGGATACCAAAGGATGTAAAACTAGCACGAGATAGTCATATCCACTGAAAGTAAAATAAGTATAAACTTTTTCTTAATTTTGCTAAAGTCAGGTCTGACAGACACACATGCTAAACAAGGACATGATTAAAAAAAAACAAAGATACACTTTCCATAACAATACAAATAGTTATTTCACGAGCCCAACAGCAAATCAAGACAGTAAAAAGTGTGTTCAATGAGAACATCAATAAAAGTTCTAAAGGAAAATACTAACTGAATGTTCATAATAGCATAAAAGTGAAAGCTACCAATGTGGTGTTCTCAGGTCACCAATTTTTCATGCAAATACAAGATAGGTCATTTTAAAAAAGGATCAATCAGAAAAACTTGTGAAGTAAACCTGAGTTTAACTAAACAACCAATTTTTAAGCTAAGATATAAACAGATTGGATACATGATGTTAAACAAACACAATCTTTGCTTACGATGTAAAGCAAAATAAAACAGTGTGTATGTTTTCATTAATACAGGACAGTTACTTTTATACTGGATCAATGAATCAAACAACAGTTATTACCCTTCAAGATGTCTTCCCATTGATTAACTCATATCTCAAACCAAGAAGAACTTAATGTGGATCTATTCTGACTAAAACTGATGCACTGTCCTGATCTTGGACATTATGTGAGAGTTGAGACCATTTTCACTACAGCAACATCAAGTCGTGTAATGGGTATTTCATTAGTTGAAAGATGCCACGACTAATACATCAGGAGCTCCAAGAAGAGCAGATAAAGGACCCAAATCTTGCATGGGTGATATATGTCAGCCAGCACCAATTGAGAAATGTAGCAAGGATGCACATAACCTGTGGCAGTTTTATGGTCTGCTCTGAGTGCAGGAAGGTGTGCTGTGCAGATGCTTTCAACCGGCAAGATGTGGTTCTCAGACTGTGCTGCAAGTATTGATCCCCAGAGCTAAAAAGCAAGAGATTCTCCAAACTTCATAACACGAAGATTAGAGGGCACCAAGATGCTATCAGCAATTGTGCTTACTGTCAATGATAGTTTTTCTGACCACATTTGAATCAAAGTGTTTGACTGATGTGAATAGTGTATGTGTGTGCTGTGCAGGATATGACCACTGATTAGTCTGAGGCTTGGGCCATCTAAAACAGAGAGGAGTACTGGTTGTAGCAGAGAGAAATTCCTCCATCACAGTTTGAGAAAGAGGTGCAGCACTTGTTGGCCAAGCTAGCTAACACCAAGAGGATCCTAACCAGGTAACACACTGCCAACCATAAAAACAATGACTTCAAACTAAAATCTGTTGGCAAAATTAAGGTGAGGAGGAGTAGAGCCTTGTAGAATCTCTGGATAAATGTTGTACAGTGTGTATATTTCTTTGTAAGTTAAAGTATAATGTTTAAGTATTTTGCATACATATCTAAATTTTTCTTTTATTTTAGTTCTTTTTTGCTGTATTAATGGGCTTGCATTATTTTGATATAATTTTTAAGAGGATTTAATTATATAATTGTTTTAATTTGACAAGGGTTATCTGTTCTAAAATCTTGGTATTTTTCGTTGATCTTTTGACTTCAAGATGTGTTTTCTTTCTCTTTGTTTGTTAGTTGCATTTTAAGTATAGGTTTGGTTTTTTTTGTATCAGTTTGATGTATTACAGGTTAGTGATTCTCTCCAAAAGAGAATATTTGTTTTTATGTGTGCTTAAAGGATTCTCTCTCTTTTTAATATTATTTTGCATGAATTGTATTTAAAGCTAATATGCGACTGTTTGTAAAAAGTTTCTTTTATTTCCAATTCTGCAAATCTGGATTGGTACTGTAACTATTATTTCAATGTTCAAGTTGTTTTTTTGTGCGATTGTAACTTGATTATTGTTCTTTAAGGGTATTTTTGTACTGTAAACTTATAACTCATATTTCAAAAGGTTTGTCACAATTTTATATGATGTATTTCCATTTAGTTGTTGTAACCATGGTTTCATAGTTTAAGGGTAATCTTGCTTAAGTGTGTGTGTGTGTTATTTAGTAATCTTATAGTTTTATATTATTATTATTAAAAGGTATCATTATGGATATTTTTATATTAAAGAACTGAAATTGTATCACTGTCAAAGGACATAATTTGTAATTTGAATAGCACAGTTAAAGTTCTTTTTATTTATGTGTGTGTGTGTGTAATTGCATTTTTTGAAGGGCTTCTTTATGTATTATGCATTCTATATCAAAAGGTTTTTCACTGTGTTACATCATTGTTAAAAGTTATTTTTTTGTATTATATACACTACTGAATTGCTGAGGATTTTCTTATTATTGCTATATTATTTCATTGTGTACTGTGTTTTTCATAATTAAAAGGCTATATTTTTTCAAATCATCGTTCTTTGTTTAAGGGTTATGTCATCCATGTTAAATGTAAATGTTTACAGGGGTGGAAGAAAGGTAATGCACTCCTTGATCATAGCACAAGTGTAAAATTAATTGGTTTTAATGTTTAATTTAACTGTTAGCTTGAGAACAAGCCTGAAACAAAGTAGGGAAGAAAATGTGTGGTATGCAAGCATACCATGCATTTCTTATCTTCTTATTTTAATATAAATAATTTAAATTTTTTTCATGTATTCTAAATCTGTGCAGATTTTGCAAAACATATGGTCCAGAGGGTCTTTGTTGGCTTAATTTTAGTTGTGTTTGTTCTGTTGATATTCTCTAAAGATAATACCTGTTCTACCCATGAGAAATATTGCCATAATGCTGTACATTGTGCACGAGCGTTAACATCAGTGTCATCCAATGATAGGCCAGATAATATCTTGAGGTTATAGCCTTTACCATATCAATTGAAAATGAGCAATCACACGAGTAGTACTAGTCACTGTGTGTAAATCAGACCTTTTTTGTTGAGTAAAAAACATTATAATCAAAATCTTTAGTGAGTTTGCAGATGTAAAGACATCTTGAGTGAAGAAAGTCACTTAATCAATTCTGGAGTCAAGTGAAAGGTACCTTCCAATGTCCAGAAAGCAAGTACGTACACTGGGTGTTTTTATCTTTATAATAAATAAAGATCAATTTTATTTTATATTACAGTGTCCAGTCTGTTTATTTCAATTTAACACTACTTCCTGATTTATCCTGCCAATCCTCCAAATATAATGCAGAGCCTATCTAATGCTCTTTTTGGAAATAAGTTTAACCTAAGAATACCACAGTAATGAGAAAAAAATTCCTGATTTAAAATGCACTATCATAATACTATGTTACAGTTTATATTATGACCACAGTTTTGTCTTGTTTTTTAATTCAATAAATTCCATTTTTAGTTGCTAACACAAAACAGAAAAGATGCAATGAATTTGAAAAAAAAAGACCCAAAACTCGAACGCTTTTGAATAGTTTACTATTCTTCTTCTCCTCCTGAAGAAGAATAGTAAACTATTCAAAAGCACTCAAGCTTTGGGTCTTTTTTTTTCAAATTCATCGCATCTTTTGTGTGTGATCTTGTGTAATAACTCTATCAGAACAAAACAGAAAAGTCTCTTCTTTCTGAGTATACACTATGCTAAGCTGTTTTACATAACAAAGCATTTTTAATTTATGGTTATAGAATAAATCATTCTTTAATGAGTAGAATTTTAAAAAATGAACTGAAAAATTAAGCACATCCTTGTGTATGTTGCTGTTCCCAATAAATTTGTGAAATAAAATAATCAGCTAATATCCATATTGGGTAGTAGTGTGTAGCTCTTTGTTATCCAACTACATATTTCAATAATCCACTTAAGTAGCCAGTGTTTTTTAACATAATTAAATATAACACTTGGATAGGTTGAAAGACAGTAAAAAGGTAGAAACACATATCACCTTGCATGTAATCCAATCTAAGTCTGAAACTTGATCAGCTCTTCTACGATAATAATCTAGCCACACGTATATTACAGAAAGCTTACCAATTCACTGTACACCACTTCCACTCGTCTTATAACACGGAATTGTTGTTGTAGGATATGTACTGCTTGGCAAAATGCCATCCCTATAAAATTACAAGAAAGTATTTAAACTTTAGATTGGAAATATGATCTATGAGAAAAGCCAATAAGCATTATTGATTCATGTATGTAAGAAGTACACTGCATGTAACATCTTCTAGCATCTGCACCAATGTTGGATCAACTTGCATTGACCAAACTGAAAATATTCAAGCTATACAGTACACTCATACAAGTTTTATGTTTTGTTCAGGCAAATGTACAGTCAAATACACAATATAAAGAAACTAATATTTTTTTATCCGAGAGATATATGTCCTGTTTTTGAATCAATGTTAATACAATTTGTAATAACTGCTTGTTTATAGTTCTACCTAAGGGTGAGAAGTTAACTACCTGACCCTTACATTTTAAACAAAAATTAAGAATGGGTAAAGTATAGAAAGTATTCATACTGATGAATATGTTTTATATAATTATGATAAAAAAATGCTTAAATGTGATCATACAAATGCTTAACCAAAAAAATCATTGGAGTACTTTTAAAAACTATGATTAACAATTTTCAGGTTATAACTAAGTAAAGAAAAAACATTTAAAAGCTAAATAGAATTATTCACATGGTTACATGAAGTTCTTATGTAATGTACAGAAGCTGATAATTCTATAATTACTGCTGCACAACTTTAACGAAAATGTTTGTCTACAGTTATAAAGTAAAATATGGCACAAAATAATTATATTACAATATCAAATCAATTAAAGAATAATTTGTAATATAAAATTATTGTAAAATAAGTTGTACAGAAAGCATAAGCATTGAGTCAACTGAACTGTGATAAGATTTGAACCTGAAAGAAAAATAAGATAGTCATTTAAAGTGAAGTACTGAAAGATTCTCACAGCAAAGCCTCTCCTGAAGATACCACCTTAGTTCATTTACAAAAAAACAAAGTTTTCTTAAAGCTATCTTAATGTGCTTCTAAATGCTATAAACCTGAAGAAAATGTTATAATGGTATATAAAACTTTACACAAACCCACTGCACTTAACAATAAAACAAGTACAAACACTATTTTGAGACACATACAAACAAGTCATTTTTCTACATATTGCCTTTACTGATTTATAACAGAATACAGAAAAGCAGGAATAAAATACCTTACAGAAAATCTGAGCAGCAAAATTAAAATATATATTAATAATTTCATTTATCTATCTATTAGAGCTCATAATAAAAACTTCATTTTGTTTGTCTTAGCGTATATCACAACAACCTAACTTAAAAGTCCATTTTCTAGGTATTTGTTTCAAATAATGCAGTAAAAGATTTACAAAACCTTGTCGAAACATTGTACATTTGCTGTTATGTTAAACTTTTTCTTCATTACCCATTCAAGCCGTCTCAGGCCATTATTAACCTAATTATTAATCGGTTACTACTGTATCTTATTACTAGATGCTAATTTAGATTTAGGTGATTGCATAGGGTATTAGGCATAACAACAACTGATATCCGATAGCCACAATCTTACTGTAAGTACTTAATGGTTTAATAACATAAAAATTTTTTTATCCTCTGTTGGCAATTCTATTCGAAACAAGCACTACCCCATTCTGATAAAATGAATCATACCAACAGCAACTTTCTATAGAATACATGCACTTCATAACCTGGAGAAAAATAACAATGAACTAATAATGACCTTACACATTCTTTTTTTAAGTATTACTGTTTTCTTAAGTGGCTATCTTTATGATGTAGAATATACTTTATGAATGCTACTTAATAAAAATATTTTTACATACCTTGTACAATTAGCCTAAGGACTTGCTAACATATTAAGGTTTTGAAAGTTTACTTGTATTCAAAAAAATATGTGTACCAAGTTGAAAAAGAAGAAGCAATAGATAAGAGGTTCTAACTCCAAAAATAAGATTCTGGAAACTCCAAGTACATGTGTAATTTTTTTTCTAAAAAAATGAGAAATAAAGCAATAAGAAAACCTTTTACTTCTCCCTCTAGTGGACTCTACACACTATCCTTACAATGGCCCACAACAGTTTTTACTTGCAATTTTTGATGACCAGCTTTATGTCAAGTTAATTGAGTTGGTCAGCCCTGCTCTGAATATTTTAATCAGTCACCATCAAGCATATGATGCAGAAAAAAAGCAGGAAGTGTGACTGGTCTAATATATATTTGTAGTTGTCACTTTCCTAAAGTACAAAAAAAAAAAAGTTTAACTAAACCATATTACATCTTACCTTTTATGTAAAGACCGGTTGTAGAACCTTAAATGACAATCGTTGTTAAATTACCCATTAACAGGATGTTAAAAAAAAAAATATTTCCTAAGCAATTTTTATTATTCTGTGTGCATGTAATATTCTTTAAGTTGTACAAAATAAATGGGGTTTTTCAACATAATTAACAGCTCCACTTGTTTGAAAATGTTACTTGTGGATTGCATCCTTTACATAGTACACCTTTATCAAGTTTTCTTTTAATCTTAGTGTAAGCAGTAAAATTATATGAAAAGACTTTAATAACACTGAAGGGAACAACAAATTCTACACACTAGAGGGTAATTCCATGATAGAGGGCTTTAATCACCAAATATTAAATCTTTATAAAACTACATAAAAGTTTCACTGTTGATATAAAACACTTGTAAATTCTACACACACTAGATTAAATGATATCAACTAATAGATATAAAAAAATGTTTACAGCAAAATATTGACTTAGATGCTCATAATAGTAATTTGGTAATTGATTTTTGCTGTAACTGTGAGCATTTGTTAAGTAAGCATGTCAAATGACATTACTATTCTGTTAAAACCCATTAATCTGTAGTTTTCTTTACAGAAAATATGTCCCTTTTCAGCCTTGAAAACAAGTATTTCAAATATACCCAAGTATTCTTATTTCAACAAAATTACACAATACATTAATTCAAAAATCCTACACACATTAGCAGACATAAAAAATAGTGGGTGATTTAAAAAATAATATCAGTTTCTACACAGTAAAGAAGTAAAAAAATCTATAGCAGACTAAGCACATAAAAACAGTAACTATGAGAGAAACACAACTGAAACACTTGAACATGGCAGCAAAGTATGTACTAAGGTCATACTGTTAATTTTAAAATGTACCATGAAATCCCAATTCGCAAGAAAACCAACAAAACCAGAAAGGCAAGTAATGTAACAGGTTAAAGGTCATATCATAGGACACTCCACTAGAAAAATTACAGTACACTGAAGTAGTCCAAGGTCAGTTTGTAGGCTGTTCTAACATGTAATGTTAAATAAGGGTAAGTCAAAAGATTTTAAAATAGTTTTTCTCTGATTTAGGCTTCTCCATAGTAGAAAATCAAACTTACTGTTCACTTCAAACAGACCTCATCACTGTATGATTGCAATTATCATAAATGTCATTGAATTATAATATTTAAAATAAGTACACCATCACAAATACAACCCCTTAATGAAGACGTGTGTGTGACAAAACAGTTTACACTCAGGAAAAAAGGTAGCAAAAATATATGCTTGAAAATTTAGAAAAATGATACAAATAACTCAGAAGATGGAGCCAATGATGTCCAACATAAATGTGGTGAATATTATAAAAGTAATTTTTATAATGATCATTTGCACACTGTATCAAGTTGAATAAACTTGTATGCAGCACATTACATGTACAATAAATAACTGTGCAGTTTCTATGTCAGAATGTTGCAAGACAAAATGTACTTAATCAAAAGAACAGAAGACAGAATGTTGTAATATGTAACCTGAGAAAACACATCACAGTTAAAAAGATTTAAGAATTTTTTTGGATTCTTGCATGTCCCAGCGTTTACTTTATGTTTGAAAATGGCACCCCTTTGCACCCAATTGATAACAAACGGTATAATATATAATAAAACAGATAACATTAAACTATATAGTATATAATCCATTTATAATGTTTGTCACAGATGATGTAACTGTAATATATTCTCCTAAGGTGATGCTATTCTGACATTTTGTTGCATGATATTGCCCTGTGACATTTTTACTAGGTACATTTTCTCTTGTGGCATTCTGACTGGACATGAAATGTGAAACAGAAATTATGAAAAAAATACAATTTAGTAACTTTACACACTTTAATAATGGTATGCATTTTTGAAAGATTATATGACATAAAAAAACAGTAAAAATTATTGCTAAAAATTTATGACTTTTTTTTTTTACATCAAACATGCATGACTTTGAATTCTTCTATTTAATTCAAATTTCTGGGTCTGCTCAGACATTGGGAAACAAAAAGAGGTGTCATGTTATGCACTTACAATAGAAGGAATTAAAAAAGAAGCTATTTGATAGGACATTGGATTGAATGAGTCACTAGAACTTATTAATAAAAACTAATATTTGCGAAAGTGAGTGTTTTTTACAATCTGATACTACATGATTCACAACTAGTAGACCTCTAATTAGTAATCTCAACTGCACTGGAGATATACATATATAATGAGTACTCAAGAAAAGTTTTCGATGGCTATGGTAATTAGAATATGGTTCAAGACAATAATTATGAGATATACACAAATGAAAAAAATGCTAGTTTTTTCTTTAACAATAAGTGAAATAATACAATTTGGATGTACTGATTGCAAATCTGGTATCAGTTTTTGCTGTCACATCAGATTTTCTCACAAAATCAGTAATAAAACTTCCTGATTTTATGCACAAGATATGAATATAATATTAGAATAAACATTTAGAAATGAATTAAAAACTTTCAACTTCGCACCAAAAGAGCTTTATTGAAATATGAGTAAAAGGACAATAATACAATAAAATTCACAGAAAGAATCATTTTAGATTACTTTTCTTTGGCTATATACATCATCAAATTTGGGTGAATTTCCTGTTTTTAAATGTCTTTTTGTAATCAAAAAATTAATAAAAAACAAACAATTTACTGTTTTAACAGGCAAGAAATGAGACTTTCTATTTCATAGAATGAGGTATATTGTAACTTAAA